AGACAGGGAGGCCATGGTCACTGTGAAGGGTGGCCCAGCTTTGTCCACTGAGGTGCCCAGTGATGAAGAGGGTAGCGGGGAGTACATGCAAGGGACATGCGGGAAGGGATTGAGGGCAGAGGGAATTGTTAGCCTGCTTTGGAGATCGGGAAGAGGTTATGGTGTGGCTGCAGAGTGCTGAGGTAATTACTGATAGGGGAGCGGAGGCTACTGATAATGCAGCTGCTTGAGGGACAGGGGTAACAGTGTGCGTGCAAGTACTGGTGTGGGTATGGTGGCACTGATGAAGTGAATGAGCTGATGTGAGCAGTGAGCTGCCATACAGGTTGTTCCTGTGATGAGTGTCCGGACAGTCACAGTAGTCGGGTCACAGTGTCTTGGACCTGCTTGCTTCTTCACCTGGGGCTGGAGTTCCAAAAAAAAAACCCAAACCCCAAACCCAACAAACCCAAACCTTTTCAAAGTACTGCAGCTCAAAATGTTTCAGTTTGTATCCAGTTTTAAGCAGGGGATTTGATTATCCATTTAATGGAAGGGACAGAAATAATTAAAAAAAAAAAAAGAGATTGCTGCAGTGATCTTCTATTTCTTAGGAAAATCAGTAAAATAAATGCTCAAGCGAAAGTGGAATCAATACCACCTCAGTTAATTCTGCACTGAAGAAAGATGATAGATTCTTTTTTATACTTAAAAATGTATTGTTCATGTGGGCTGAAAATTTCAAAGGAGTCTAGGGGAGTTAAGTACCTAACTTGCTGTCTCAGTGAGATTTTTTTTCTTAATTCACTTGGTCTTGTTTTTAAAAAAATCTCAATCTTCCAACAGTCATGTGTTTAGGATTTTTAAAAGTTTCATGAGAAATACTGTGTTGCATTGGCATCTGCAAAGGTTGTGTGTGAATATTAAGGACTTAATATGGCTTCGGGCTCAAGTGGATGCTCAAGTACAAAAGGATTTTTTCTTGGATGCTAAATGTCATTAAGTTTTAGGGCAGTCATGTGATGATGCTGTGACACAGGCATGATTGTATCGAAGTTCCACAATAGAATATTTTACTAATGTGTAGCAACTGTTAAATGACTAAAAAAAATCCAAAACAAAAAAAAAACCCAAAAAAACCCCAAAACCCAAACCCAACACTTTGATCTGGGACACTTCAGAAATCCAAGATATTGCTGATGGGAGTCAGAATTTTCCAGATTTCTGTGAGTGAGATTAGCTGTATCTGTGACTTAAATAATCAGGTGGTGCAAAGACTGTGATTGACAGCTCTAGACAATTGTCCCTGTGAGTGTCAACTTTTCTTCAGCAGCAAATAGACAAAATCTGCACAAACAGATTTCCAGCAGTGGGAGTAAAAATCTTCTGGATAAGACATTATGAAAAAGATATTCCAAGGTCTAAGGAGCTGCGTGGTGACATAGACTCCAAGGTATGTTTACCCTTTCTTTCACTTACCTTGCAGAGCTGCCACACAGTGAGCATTCCTTTTACATGCCTTTCTGCAATACGCAGCGCACTGCCTGCCCTCAGCACCCTCACTTGTTTCATCAGCAGGCATCAACTACTCATTTAGGGTAGAAAGTTATTTTGTATACAGAAAGCTGACATTGCCTTGCTTCAGGGTATGGTGAGTGCACCAGCATATGGATTAGAGTGCATCTGTCAATAGTTGGTTTAACTTCATTCCCTTGATTTTACAGCGATTTGGCAGGCTTGGTATGTGGCTTTCCACTGATTTATTTTTTTTCCCCCTGTTTCCTTGTGCTCATTTTAATAGGAAAAGTATCCAGCCTTCTGTATTTAGTCACAGAACAAGTTGTTATCAATTTTAGCTCTTGGCTAGAGTGATAATTGTTAGAATTCAGAACTTAAATTCAGAAAAGCAGTTTAATATGAAAACAGGTTATATACAATGTTTCTACTCATGCAGTAATAAAAACTTCCGATGTTATATGAACTAATCTGGCCTTGGCATTGGATTATGTGACTGCTAAAAGTGAGGAATCTTCATAAGTGCCCTTTTCTTGTGACTTTTTTTATTTTATATAATATATGCTACCAGTTCCATTACAGAACTATTCATTCTCAGTTGAATTCTGAGGTTGGTAGTTGTGACAACACGCCCAGGGAATACTGCTGACATGCATATCCCTTCAGAGAGTGGTTTTGTTCCAGTTCTGACAATGAAAACTGGTATCAGAGTTGCAGTGAAAGGCAAATATTCACAGTGCTAGGAGAACAGAAGGCGAGGGAGAGAGATGCATATTAACAAGTGGACTTGATAAAACAAGCCTGATAAAGAAACAAAGGACTGGAAAAGGAACAACTGCTTGTTTGATTTGCATGAATGTAAAATACAGCCTGCAACAAGGGATGCAATAAATAACTAGTGATAGAGGCCACTGTTCAGGAACGTATCCCTTACTCAGGACAACACTTCAGGATGTCCTAAAAATGTCCTAAAACCACGGGCCTGAGTGCTGCCCTGGGCAGGATTACTGTTGTCAACAAACCACCTTGTTTTGTGTATTTCAGAACTGTTAAGAACTTGTCACAAGTGACAAAGGCTGGTGAACATACAACATTTTGTAAATCATTCCTTTCTCTCCCCCCCGCCCTTCTTTTCTGCTTGCCATTTCCTACCTTTAGATCTAACTTTTAGCACAAGTACAACAAAAAGCATGGAAGGAAAGAAGAAAGAGGAGAAACCAGAAGAGCAACTTACGGATCCTGAATCAGCTTTCCTAGAAGCCTTACTAGAATTTCAGTAGGTTTAATATATTTAGCTTTTTACTCATATAGAATGCGTGAATGGATAAAGCAGATAACAAAGACAACTTAACCAATTCAGACCCTCAGCTGACTGACTGTGGCAATTGTGTACTGTTCTTTTGTGTTCTTGTTCGGGTTTTCAAGGCTATTTTGGAAATACATACTTTTTAAACTATAAGAAAGCATTTAAGTGGGTCAGAAATAATTTTATGCAGTTAGGTTATAACTTGGGAAAAGGAGTTTTATTAAAAACAAAAACCCCACACTTTTGTCTGTTAGTAGCAAGCTTTTGATCAGTGTACTCTAAAGCAGCAAGATCACATTTGACTGTATTTTTTAGGATTCCTTGATGTGCACAGAGGTATGTAGTCACCAGTCAGAACCTCAAGACCTACAGTATGCTCCCTTGGTGCAGCTGAGAGTGGAGCACAGAGGAGAGTGTTTTATTTTGAAAGTAATGGAGGGACAACTTAAAATCAAGCAGCAAAAAATAAAGAGCTAAGGGGGGAATATCTGAAGTAGTTACCAATTTATTTGATCTCCAATCTCTTGACTAGATGATGGAAAGGAGAAAAATTAAGCTCTGTGACTTTTATCAAAGAGACAGAGATAGAAAGGGAAAAACCTCAACAGCATCCAATATCCAACAATTATCAGCACTTAGGGAGCAAGAACTACTGCCTTGGTATAGAAATGAAAAGCAGGGTAAGCAAACTGAAGAGCAACCACATATAGTTCTGGTGACATCTATAGGAGTTTACAGGACTTATGTGGGATTTTCTATTTCATTTTACAAAGAACAGAGTACTAAGTTTCCATAGTAAACCAGACCAGATTTAGCTGAATCTTATCACAAATAAATATGATCCAAAAAGTCAACAAACCAGCCTATTTATTAGGCTAAGAAGAAATAAGCAAACTCTATTATTAAGCTGAGGAAAAAAAACCCCAGTGCTTTCTGGCAAAATTATTGTTATGTATATTTAAATATCCAAGAAAATGACTGACTGAAGAGTCTTCCACTGAAATGTGTGCTGTACTAACAAAAGATAGTTTCTACAGCAACAGTAGGGGGAAAAGGGAAGAAAAGTATTTTTCTTTCTGTCTTTATGTTTCTACC